ACAGGGATGGGATGGGTGGGTGCTGGTGCCCCTGGGCCACACCGGGAGCCCCTTTGCAGACCTACGCCGAGATGGATCCCACCACGGCAGCGCTGGAGAAGGAGCACGAGGCCGTGAGTGACCCCTTGGGGGGGGGAAACGGACACAACACCCCAAAACTCGGGGGGGGTGTCCCATGGCCTGGCCTTGTCCCTGTGGCTCCTTTAGGGGTCCTTACGGATCCCTTGGGATCGGGGGGGGGGTCCCAGTCCCGAGCCGCAGATCACGAAGGTGAAGTATGTGGATAAGATCCACATCGGACACTTCGAGATCGACGCCTGGTACTTCTCACCCTTCCCGGAGGATTACGGGAAGCAGCCGAAGCTCTGGATCTGCGAGTTCTGCCTCAAGTACATGAAGTACGAGCGCTCCTTCCGCCTCCACCTGGTACGGACACGCTGGGACACACATGGGACACGCGTGTGCCGTGGGGAGGGTGGGATGTAACACACAGGGGACACGTAGAGATACACAGAGACGCAATTTGGGCTCAAACACCTCACTCCGAGCACATCAATGGCTCCAGCGCATAGGGGAACACATGTACGACACACGTATGACACATGTAACATACATATAACATGCGTGTTACATGTGGAGGGTGGTACATGGCACATAAGAAACATGTAGAGATACACAGAGGCACAATTTGGGCTCAAACACCTCAGATATGAGCATATCGATGGCTCCAGCACACAGGGGGACACTTGTATGACACATGTAACATGCATGTAACACGCGTGTTACATGTGGAGGGTGGTATATGGCACATTGGGCATGCTTAGAGATACACAGAGGCCCAATTTGGGCTCAGACACCTCACTCCGAGCACATCAATGGGTCCAGCGCATAGAGGGACACGTATATGACACATGTAATATACATGTAACATACATGTGACATGCATGTTACATGCGGAGGGTGGTACATGGCACACAGGGGACATGTAGAGCTACACAGAGGCCCAATTTGGGCTCAAACACCTCAGCTCAGAGCACATGGATGGCTCCAGCGCATAGAGGGACACACACATGACGCACGCAACATACATGTAGCATGCGTGTTACATGCAGAGGGTGGTACATGGCCCACAGAGGACATGCGGAGGCCCAATTTGGGCTCAAACACCTCACTCTGAGCACATCGATGGCTCCAGCGCATAAAGGGACATGCGTATGGCACATGTAACATACATGTAACACGCATGTAACGTGGAAGGTGGTACACGGCACATAGGGGATGTTTGGAGATACACAGCGACCCAATTTGGGCTCAAACACCTCACTGAGCACATCAGTGGCTCCAGCGCATAGAGGGACACGTGTATGACACATGTATGACACACGTATGACGCACGTATGACACATATAACATACATGTAACACGTGTGTTACACGCAGAGGGCGGTACATGACACACAGAGGCCACAGCGAGCCCCATCTTGCTCCCCCCATGGACGGATGGGGTGGGGGGGGACCCCACTGGAGACACTCCCCGCGTGTTACACGCCTCTTACACGCGTGTTACACGCGTGTTACACACGTGTTCACCCCCACAGGGCCAGTGCCAGTGGCGGCAGCCGCCGGGGCGCGAGATCTACCGCAAGGGCAACATCTCCGTGTACGAGGTGGACGGCAAAGACCACAAGGTGCCGAGCAAGGGGAGCGCGGGGGTGGCGCTGACGTCATGGCGCCCGGCCCGTGACGTCAGCGTGACGTCAGCGTGACGTCACCGCCAGATCTACTGCCAGAACCTGTGCCTCTTGGCCAAGCTCTTCCTGGACCACAAGACCCTTTACTTCGACGTGGAGCCCTTCGTCTTCTACCTGCTCACCGAGGTGGACCGGGACGGCGCCCACATCGTCGGCTACTTCTCCAAGGTGGGGAGCCCCTGGTGAGCCCATAATGATCCCGTAGTGAGCCCGTAGTGAGCCCAT